TCTGAAGACAGCAAGAAGATGCTCCCCACCCTTGGTCTTCAGACTGGATGTAGCTCCCTTGCCCCTGGTACGTTGGATGCTGCAGGACCCAACCATCATGGTACCCCTCCACTGCTCTCACTGAAGTAAGCTGATATCTCTCCTGTACTAGAGAGCCCAGCCCTGAGCACATGATGAGCTCTTATGCTGAATGGAAGAATATAATCACTTCCCTTGAAGTGCTGCCCCCTTTGTGTTTGGTTGTTCCCACCAGAAGGTTGTGTTCTTGACTCACCTTCATACACTTCCAACTCATGCTTAGTTGTGTGTGTGGTCAGTATAGACCTGAAATAAAATTGACGTGAAATTCTTATGAGATAAGGTGGGCGAGGTGCCAACAAACTCAGCATTCTTTAGTTTCTGAGATCCATGAGTAATTATTTCCAAGTGTGCATTAAGGAAAATCCCTATTTGCTCTGTATTTCATAGGTAAAAAAAATATCTCTGTCCTTTCAATAAATTCCCATAGCCTAAAGCAATTTCCCTATACAACTGCAAAGATGATTTTACAATCATGTTATTTGACATAGAATGCCATGAGATTGCATTTAATATTTTTCCAAGTTTCTTGAAAATGTCAGAAATTCTAGCTTATATGTTCTATTGTTTGGAACATTTAGTTTACAAATGAGAAATGGCAAATTTCCTGTGATTTACTTTAGGTTATGTTAATAATTTAACTACTTTTTATTTCTCAGCTGTCTGCTTTCATAAAAAAATGGGAAATTGGAATGTTGTAATTAATTACAAAGCAAAAAAAAAAAATTTGCAGATTAGTTCAAGTTGGAGAGCTGAAGATCTGGAGATCTAGTCTACCCTGCCCTGCTGAAGGGTCAGCTAGAGCAGGTTGCTCAGGACATGTTCTGTCCAGTTTGGAACATCTTTGGAGGTGGATACTCAACAATCTGTCTGGACAACCTATTCCAGTACTTGAGAAGCCTAAGTGTAAAAAGGTGTTAATTTGATTTTTACAACTATAGAGGTAGCCTAGAAAAGTTGTAAAATCTCCCATGAATGACAGTATGGCCCAGATTGGCTCTCAAGAAGCTAAGGACTGAAATCCTCTTATTTGTCTATTGTCATATAATCTTTGAGCTCAGGGGCAGACTCCTGCTCTGTGGTGAAGTGAGACACAACCAAGTCTCAGAAATCACTGTGTATTTTAATTTCAAAATGCAGAGCTGTGTTCTTATACCAGGAACTGAAGTTTGTAATTTCAAATTCTCAATCAGAGATGAGATGGCTTATTTCTGCCCCTCTCTTTGGAATGCCAGGACAGAGGGTCATTTCCAAGTGCATACAGGCAGCCCTTGGAAAGTGCTTGTGTGAGATGCAGTGGACCCTGGATTAAAAAAAGTGACATCAAGAAGTCTTTCATCACATTTCTTCCATGAAAATGAAGCATTAGGTATGCCTGTGCCATTTCTGAAGGAAATTTGACTAACCTGATTTTTATAGTGCCCACCATAGTATCTGACAATAATAGAGAAGTTGTCTCCAAGCCCATCCCATCCCATCCCATCCCATCCCATCCCATCCCATCCCAT